TTGATTCTATAATGCATTACAGTTGCTTATATTTCTGTATATGATTATGCTATTGCTTACTGTTTTTGTGATTTCTAGTTTGTGCTTGGCTAAATCTATTATTGGGTTTTGTATAGCATTTATTATTCTTTTTAATAAGTTTGTAGTTTAAAACATATAGGTTAACTTTGGCACTATGCATATATTGTTTAAATATAATACTTGTGTGTCTGTTATTTTTTTAGTATTTAAAAGACTTATTGTTAAATGTACTAAATCCTTTACTCTTAATATAATTGATTTTCATTGAGTTTGCTATTTTCTAAAAATCTTGTAATTTTAGTCTTTTTTCTTTATATATTCATTTATTACTAAGTTTGATTTTTTATTTTCTTAGATTTATTTGGGTTTATAATAATTAGCTTTAATATTTTTACTTTATTTAAATGTTATTTAATTCAAAAAAATCTTTTGTGATCTGTAATATCTGCTTTATTTGCTTTTGACTATTTGCTATTCAAGTTGTATTATTTGCAAAAGCTACTACTGTCTGTCTTTAACTTGTTTTTTTGAATAGTTAAACTATTGTTATATATATTTAAGACTTAATCATATAACTCAGCTTTGGATCTTTTTAAATTCTCTTAAGCAAAGAATCATAGAATATTCTTTATATTAAAAGTAAAAGTAACTTATTCTGTTCTATTCCTTCATTTATTACAAATGCTTCTTTATGACTTCAGCGTGTAATTATTTTAAATCATCTAATTTGAAAAAAATTTAAGATTATTTTAATTATTTCTAAGAGTTTAATTCTTTTCATAGCTGTCTTTAGTGCTGTTAATGATACTGAGTTAAAAGCCTTTTTTATGTCATATAGAACTAACAAAAACTTTTTATTATTCTCTTTTGCACTTTTAATCAATATATTTATAATATGCACTGGCTCTTTTGTCAAATTTTTCAGAAGCTCTCAAAGTTTGAGCTTCTAAAGATATTTTTTGGCAAAATATGCTAGCTAATTTTTTGGTTAAAAACTTTGTTGTACATTTTTAAAAGGTTTCTAGTAATGCTATTAGTCTGACATCACTAAGATTATAATGCTATTTACTATCTTTTGGAATTGAATAGATTTGCAATATTTTTTATTTTTTTGATATTGCTTCTATTTTAATACAAATTTCATTAAATGGTTTGAAAATTTTATATACTTTAACTCCTGTTGCTTAATTTAGTATATATGTAATAACAGGTTGGGCTCTATAGCTCAAATTGTTAAGCTGCCAACTCTGTATAAATGAGGTTAACAGTTCAAGTCAGACTGAAGACAAAATCTAAGAATTTTAACTTTGTAACCTAATATAGAAGCCAAATTAAATATGAAGCACTATAATAAGTTCCAAGGTAAAGTACAAAGATGAATTAGAAATTCTTGAAAGAAGATTGACTCTGCAGAGAGAAGGCACTATATGTAATAGTGGCATTATAGAAGGTTCTACTACTAAAAGTGTTGCACAGGTAAGTCCTATTAAGATGATGCAGTACCAACATCTCTGTACCCAACTTACAGAATACTTTATTGAAAGGATAATACTAATGTAGTTAAAACTAAAGTAGTAAGCAAAGTGGTGTATGCAAAAAAGATCTGTAATAAAGAATTGATCTAACCAAAATTAGAACATCTTAGACAGATACTATAAACTCTTAAGAAGCAAAACAATAGTTGTATATTACAACATCATTGATGGTTATTATACTTGTATATAATAAGTCAAGGTTTCAGACCCTCTTGCAATACCAAATTAGAAATACAATAGTACAACAACTATGAAAGTACACAAAAAGAGTACATGATAGTTGCAGATGCTAATCCAGAATCTTGATAAATCTAGCTATGTCAATTATTAACAATACATGTAGAGTTGTGTATATTAAATTGGTAGCAAGAAGAGCAAGAAATCATTGAAGTCAACCAATTTGAGAAAAGGAATAGGTGACTGCAAAAAGTAGATATAAGAACTATAGTTAAATAGAATTAGGAAATATAGTATTATAAGGTGGCTACAACCTTACCTTAATTAGTAACAATCATTGAAACACTATAGTACTAGTCTTAATTTAGGAAAGTATAGATATAATGTCACATTGGGTATCTATATAGTAATATAGTAGCACAAATAATATATAATAACTCTAATGTATTAATCTGATATTAATTAAATAAAGTATTATAATTGGCATTAAAAAAATATATATATATATATGTGATGCCTAAAATTTTTAGTGCTGTTTTCTTTTTAAGCTCTTAAATTATCCTGCTTTATGTTTCTTCAGAAATATCTTGATTAAAACTTTGTATTATTCTTTTTTAATAGACTTTTTTGGCTTATATATATTTATTTATTTTTTTTATTAATATTTTAGTCAAAATAATGTGATCTAAACTGATTTTGGTATATTTTTTGTTTTTATAAGTATTTTTGTTGATTTAATAACAAGGCTTCTTTATCCTTCTTCTTTATTAATAAGTCTATTAAGTTAAATTTTTTTTATTTATCTAAAAGGCTTATTTGCATTTTGTCTTGTTTTTTATTAATTATTTGGTATTTTCTTTTTATATTGTCTTCTATTTATTTTTTTTTGTTCTTCTAGTTTACTGATTCTTCTTGCTTAAAGTATTCTTTATTAATATTTTAGATCTTTAATAAGTTCATATACTTATAATTGTGCTAAGTTTATATAAGTTTCATATTATTTATTAATAAATTTGATTTTTTATTTAGCTTGTTTATGTTATTTTCTAAAAGCTCCAGTTTGATATTTATTTTTTTTATATTAATTTACCTTTCCAATTGTGTAAAAGATTTGCCTAATTGAGATTCTTTTGTTTTCTTTTTCTTTTTACTTAAAATATTTGATATTTTTTTTTAAGATATATTTTTTTGCTATTGTAGCAATACTGTTGCTGATTGTATTCTATCATTTATTTAATCAATTATAATTATTAGTAACTTCATTTGTCAGTAAAAACTATTGTAAATCTTAGATACTAATTTTTTTTCTAATACTGAATTAAGCTTTTGTCAATATTTTTTACAGTCTTCTTTGGTTACTTTATTATAAAGAAAAATATTTTTTAAGATTTTTTTTTTTATTTTTGCTGCATTGTATAGTGTAATTAGATGGCTTAATTCTATTTTTGCTATAACTGCCTTATGGTTACTATTTGTGCAAGTATCTATTTCTTGAATTTTTGTCTCATAAAGACTATTTGCTAGTTCTTCTATAATTTATATATAATCTATTTTTGATTCAGATCCATATCTAGACTATAAGAATTCTCTTGCATTTGAATTAATTATTCTAAATGAATTACTAAACTCTTGTCTTTCTAGCCAGCCAAGCAGTAGATTTGGTTTTGCTTGTTTTTTTTTGGTTTAGTGGTTTATCTAAGTTTACATTTACTGTTGCATTGAAGTTTTCTATAATGTCACAATCTAGAATAAGATTGTTGATAATTTATTTAAAGAATCAATTGCATAATTAAAGTAATATATATATTAGATAGTAAATGCAGTATAATTAGCATAATTAATATATATAGCATAATTGGAAGATTTAGTGTAATTAGAGTTTTAGCATAATTAGCAGATTTAGAATAATTAGTTGATTTAGTGTATGTAGTATAATTGGAGTAATTAGTATATATGATTTATTTAGGGCATATAGTATATATAGCATATAAAGAAAAGTATATAAGCAATACATTCTAAATATAAAAAGAAAAGTCTCACAGTATAATAAATAAAGTTATACTTACTCTTAGTATCTCTACAATAATTGGTGATGACTAAAAGATTCGTCTGATCCCTTCTCCCTAATTTGAAAAAAAAAAAAGTTAAATTAGAAGAAAGGTTAAATATAAAACAAAAAAACCAACAAAACAGAAATACTTACCAAGAAAGCAAGAAACTCATAGTAATACTAGAATTATTATTGATAACACTTTAGCAAAAGGAAATAACAATCATTAGAAAAATGCACAAATTATTAAGAAAATTTTTTTGATTACAAGAATATTGTTTTCATAAGAGTAAAAAAAAAACTTATTTAGCATAAAAAAATATAACATAAACCTACAAAAACAAAAAAAATAAATAATAAAATACTTTCTGGCTTAATTAGTCTAAGAATTCATTGTATATATATACTCATTATGCAATAAGAGAGGAATATCAAAAAAATTCAAAAGTAAAAGTAATCTTAAAACCAATAACAGAAAAATAACAGAAAAATTCAAAAGTAAAAGCAACTTTAAAACTGGTAAAAAGTGGAATATCAGAAAAATTTAAAAAGCCAAAACTACCTTAAAACCAAAAAAATAAAGCTTCTAATAATATAGTCATAATGATTGATAGATAAACTTGGAGCTTAAAGTTTAAGAACAATAGAACTATAAGATCAGAAAAATAAGTTTATTGCATTAAAAACAAGAGAATATAACAATATAAACATTACTTTCTATTAAATACAAAAAAAAAATTTATTAAAGTTAAGTTACAATAAATTAGCATATAATAAATATTGTCATATCAACTGTAAGCCAATATTGGGGCATATATAAAAGAAGAACTTGAACAATAGAAAAACTCTTTTACAAAAAGTAACCAGAAACAATCAAAAAAAAAAGTAAAGCTAATTTTATCTTTGGATTAACAAAAAAACTGTAAAGCATTAATCGATCTCCTCTCTATAAACAAACCACATGACAATAACAAAACATTATCTCTACATAGCCATTCCACTTTAGCATTATATCCTAACAACTCAAAAAAATAAAAAACAAAATAAGAAATAAATGTTGAAAAGAAAGTAAAAGTGGATCAATCAACAAATCCAAAAAGCAACAAAGATGAAAAAATACTTTCAATTTTAGCAAACTAGAACTCAGAAGAACAGCCTTACTTCTGAAACTTATAAAAGTAGAACCAAACCCACAACCAACAGAAAAAGCCATCAAAATGAATTTGGCCCAACTAATGCTGCTGCTTGATAAGTTTACCAAAACATTTGAAGATGCAACAACTAGAAAAATCAATGCAGATATAATAGGAAAAAAGAAACTAAACCTCATAACCATTTCTAAATTCAATAGAAGGAAAAACAAAGACTTTATAGAATGGTTTGAGTCCTTTGAACAAGCTGCTGAAACCAACAATTGGAGCAAAAAAAGAAGGATTACAATTGCTATGGGTTATTATAGTGATCTAGCAGCAGATTAGTACTGTAAAAATAAAGGAAAAATTAAGTATTGGAATAAGGAAAGCTACCCAACTAAGAGCTTTTTTCACCTGTTATTTACATTTTTTGCAACACCTGAACAGCACCACTATTAGCAAATAGAATTAAATACTCTTACACAGAAACCAGGAGAGAATGACAACTTTTACGCTGCAAAATTCAAAAGACTCTTGTGTAGAGTTGAATTCAGTAGAAAACTTCTCTCTGCACATGTTATGTGCATGTTCCTTGGTGGTTTGAGTAGTAAAATAGCAATCTTCATAACTATAGTGACCTCAAAAACATTGGATGATGCTATCACATATGTATAAAAGGTGGAAGCAGATGACTACTATAGACAACAAGCAGCAGTACACCAAGCATCTGTAAAAATTAAGGATGATATGAAAAACTTGATAGAAAAAATAAATAAGTTAACAATAAATTATGCCAATATGACAAACTCGATTACACAATTAACAAAATAGAGTCAAAAAATGTATAACCAAACTAATTAAGAAAATCACTAACTAAGAAACCCTGATATTGTATGCATAAATGTAACTAAAAAGGTCATATTGCTTAATTTTGCATCTTCACCAAGAATTTGCTATGCAAAAGAATATATATTCCAATCAAGTTATGCTAAAAAGAGTAAACTATTGTAACATAGAGGAAAATAAGGACAACATAGTATAGAAAAAAGAATTATACAACATTGGAGACACCCACCAGCAATATGAAGCAAAAAGAAGAGGTTGATTACCTAAAAAATCTGAAAATAGTTGGAAGACTTAAGAAAAAAGCAAAAAGTATTACATTTCTCTTTACCTATAGTAGTTATAACAGGTCCCTTATTCTAAAGCAATAAAATAATAAATAAAGTAGCTTCTACCTCCTTTAAAGGTCCTATCAACCTTTGTTGTAAATGAGAACCATCCATCATTGACAAAATTAAAACATAGAACATTGCTAACAACCTATTAGTACCAAAGTTTAATGCAACATTTGGACAACTTCTACAATACCTCAATCAAAAAAGGAATCTGGAAAAAGCTCTCAGAATACTATCCTATATTAAGGAAGCAAATTTTGTAGATCCCCAAACTCAGCAATGAACAACTATAGCAAAATGTCACGTGTACTTCACCAACAAGCCTGTAGTAGCTGTATTAGACACTAGTGCAGCCATAAGTATTATAACAAAGCAACTGGCAGATTGAATTTGATTAGTATAGAGAAGGAATCAAAAATAGTAGTAGTAACAGCAACAGATGTTAGAAAATATACATTAGAAAGTACAGCTAAAGTGAATATTAATGTAAATAATATCAACATATCCACCTTTTTACAAGTATTAGAATCTGTTAATAAGAATTTGCTATTAGAAACCAACTGGTTTCAAAAAGCTTGAGTGATGGTAGATTTCAATGAACAAAAACTAGTAATTAGATATTTAGCTAGGAGGTTTGAAGTGCCAATAATGCATACAGACAAGGAAAAACAGAAGGATTATGTGAATAAGAATATGAGGTCAAATGACCATGATAGTAACAAAAATGACAATAACAATCTATTTGAGAAATTTGAGTATGAAAATGAGGATTTAGAAGAAGTTAAAAGTTACTCTACAGATAGCATCTTGGTTGGTGAAGTGTCAGAAAGTAAGTCAGAAGAAAATTGATGATGAAAACATTGAAAAAGAAAGCCTGGCAGTCAGTCTAGCTGTAATAAAGGAAGTTTCAACCAAAAAGAAGCTCCCTGTTGATGAAAAACCACTTGTAAAAGACCAATTGGTTTGAATAGTAGACAGTGTAAATATAGAAGCATAGTATAAAATAAATGTGAAGCAATTGTTTAAAGCAAATAAGAACTTATTTGCAAATGGGTTAGAAAAACTTGAACAAACCAACCTTGTAAAGCATATGATCAAAACTAGTGATATTGACTAATTAAACAAGCACCTTATTGCTTGGCTTTTAGTAAACAGGAATTTGTATATGAGAAGTTGAATAAACTAAAGAAGAAGGAATTGATTAGAGATTCATTTAGCTCTTGTGCATTTTTCATATTGTTAGTCCTCCAAAACAAATAACAAATTAATAATGTGTGTTAACTATTGATGGTTAAACAAGATAACAAAAAATATGCAAATTCAATCCTCTATATTAATAACCTTCTAAAAGCATTCAGTAGTGCCTAATAGTTTAGTAGTCTTGACTCTCTAGTAACTATTGACAAGTCCAAATGAGAGATGAAAACTGTGAAAAAATAGCATTTGTAACCAAATTTGAAATGTTTAAGTTTACAGTTATACTATTTAGTCTTTATAATGCCTCTGACATTTCAAAGAATGATGAACAAAATTCTATACAAATTTACTAGTAAATTCATTACAGTATATCTTAACAATATTAATATTTATTCTCATATCCTACTCGAACATATTAACCACTTGAGCCAAGTATTTAAAAAAATTAGAGATGCAGATCTTAATTTAAATTTTGAAAAATGCCAGTTTTAACTTTAAAACTTGCATTTTTTGGATCACATTATTAGTAATAATAGTATATGGCTGGATGGGGCAAAAACAGAAAAAGTCAAAAATTATTCAGTACCCAAAAACATAAGGCAATTATAAGGTTTTCTAGAGTTATCATCTTACTACTATAAATTTTTTAAAAACTTTGTGACAATCATGAAACCATTACACTACCTATTACAAAAAAACACCTTCTATAACTAGACTACCTAACAACAACTAGCATTTGACATCCTTAAACAACATCTAATTTCTGCCCTTATACTACATTATTCTAACTTTGACAAAAGGTTCTTTTTATAACTAATGTATCTGAAGTAAGGTTAGGTATCATCTTGGCCCAAATTGAAGATAAATGTAAAAAATATGTAGTCACTTATGCATTTCAAAGTCTTTCTAGATCTGAAAGAAACTACTCTACAATCGAACTGAAATGCCTAGCTGTAATCTGAATGATTGAATATTTTTATTATTACTTTGGCTATAAGCCATTTACAGTTGTAACTGATCACTTAGCTTTGAAGTAGTTAGAATTATCAAAATTGAAAGAAAGGCATGCCTGTTGGATTTTATATTTACAACCATATAACTATACTATTAAACACTAACTAGAATGAAAGCTTTTAAATGCTAATGCTCTCTTATATATCTAAGTACAAATCAAAAAGTTAAAATAAAAAAAAATAAAAAATCTCAATACTTAAATCTGAACTCAATTCAGACTAGGTAACCAGTGTTCTGACACTACAATAAAACTCAAGAAAGATAAGTTAGTTAAATCTCAAAAAAACAAAAAAAAAAACAAACAACTATATCAAATAATTGTACTTAGCCCAAAGTTGAATCATCCTATAGTTCACAACATAAACTCTACCTACTATCAACATCTAAAATATTTCATAACTAACCAATACCTACCATCCAGGCTGGATAAACAAGAACAAGCAAGAATAAAGTCCAAATCAAGGTTCTTTAAGGTGAAAAAGAATGCATTATATAAGAGGTTAGGTGCAAAAAAGGTAATTGGCTAAAGATAGTACAAATGTTTAAAATAGAGCCTATTTTATTTCTTGCACACAACCATCCAACTGAAGGTCAAATAGGGCAAACAGCTATGTTTAACAAAATAAGAAGGCACTATTTTTGGTCTCAGATATTTGAAAACATCTTTGAATATGTTTATATATATGACTCATGCCAACAACAAAGTAAAACAAGCTTCAAGAATCTATCTACATCAGAAAATTTTTTTTACAGAAATTAATTGATATATAGCATTTAATTAATATATATCATTTGAAAATTAACAATATATATCGATAAACAGGTTTATTCTTGATATATATTAAATATTGATACAAATCGATAATAAGGTAATAATTGATAAAATACAGTTATCAATTGTCATCAAATCTATTTCAATTGTCATAATTTTTGTCACATCATTATCAATTGATAAATATATATTACAAAATACACTTTCAAATTTAGAATACATTAAATATCGATATATCCTTTAATATAATATTAAAACATAAAAATGTTTACTAAGTATTCATTTGTTTTATTATATCTTGGGATTATATGAACTGTTCTATCTATGCTATCTAACAGTATACAACTATATTGTTTAAGTAATTTTAATTTAGGACATCTTCATAATTCACCAACTTCCTCATACTAGCAAACTAAAGCAAATTCAAGTGATTCTCTATCTACTTGGTCGAACTTAAGTATTAACAATACCTTAATATATAACATTTATATTAGTATAGATTCAGTACTCTCGAAGCTAGATAAAAATATATTAAATATGCTTCTAACTTCGAGAGTTATTTTGCTTATTATCGTTATTAACCATTTTTATTGGTAAATGCATAATTACGATAGTACTCAAATAAAATTAAAGTTAAACTATACTTACTAATTCATACCAATATATTACTTCTTCTTCATTACCTCTGCTAACAATAACATTTGAAAACATTGGGAACTATGAAAGCTTGAAGTAGCATGAATTATATTTGTACTTTCTAATGACACAGAAAAAAATATTTTAATATGATTATCCTCATCAATGGACATAATTGATTTCTCATCAAAAAATTCGTCAAGATCAGTTAAGAGGTTTTGAAAGCCTTCAACTTGTAATGAATCTAAATTATTTTTATTTTTTTCAAGAAAATTGTCCAGACCTTCTAAATTTAATGACCACAAAGTTTTTCCAAACTCTTTAGTATAGCGACTCCTCTTGGGAACTTCTTTTTCAGTTAACTTTTGCCACTTAATCTAAGAATAATAATTGCATATGTTAATGATTAATAATGATTATTTGGAATAATTATAACTACTGTCTTTAATATTTGTTTCATATAGTCTTTTTTATTCGATATGTGATAGAGTTCTTTTATGTAATTCTTATGAAGGGATTTATAAGTTTCTGTAGTTATACTATTTATTGACCTGTACTCTTGAATTATCAGTACTATATAATAGCACTAAGCATGGAGTTTTGAAAGCTAAAGACCACTTGGATTGTATTTTGAAAATATTTCAACAAATTCTCCATAATGTAAGTCTGCAAAAATAATCATTAGTAATCAAATTTTATAAAAAGCTAACTTTTATTTGCTTTATACCTGAAGCTTATTGCAAGAAACATAAGTAAATGATTCTTTATAGGTAGTAATATACATTTAAAGAAATTTGTAATAAACTTGGCATAGCTGTCTATTACTAATTTCTAGCCTTCTATAATCCTCAAATAGATTATCTAACGCAAAAATAACTATTTTCATTACATTTTGCAATTCATTAGCTGTCACACATGTAATATCTAATATATTCTTAATTATTTTTAAATCAGGATATTGTGGAATTGAGATTAATCATTGTTTGAAGGTTTGAAAAACTTCACTTTCGCATTGTTCATATAAAAGCTCTTTAGTATAATCAATCATATACTTAAAGAGGCCAAGATCCAAGATGTGCATTCAATCAGGTATAATAGCTCATATATATTAAAATTTCTAAAAAATTTTATTATTTATAACAATATTTATTTTTTAATTTTATTACTAAGCTGTTATTTCTTACCTTATCTTCCAAAATGCATTATTTTCAGGATGGATTGAATAATAATAATTATCACTGCTACTAATCGCTTGCCTCATCATATCTGGAGTTCTAGATGAAATATGAGTTAAACCAAGATTATTCAAATCATCCTTTGATAGTGTTAACCTACAAAAACGACCATAACTCTTGAACCACTAGACAGAATTCGATGAAATGATCATCATTCGAATCAGCTCACTGAGACAGTTCTAATGAGGTATAGATCATCCGTTTCTGATCACAGGATCACAAGATCGAATCTGATAACCAAATTAATAAGAAAGCTGTGATCTGATTGATTAATGATAACTGCGCAAAATATCATACATATAACATATATCAAATTTATGTGATTTGAAGCATCTATATTTTATATTAT